CTCTTACTCGTAGTTGAGTGCGATTTTGAAAGTACCCGAAAAGCCTGGCAGAGATTGCCCGACCCGTTTGGCCAGCACCCCAGTCCGGTCGACAGATCCGCCACTTCCTGCCCAGGATGCACAGCCCCGAGATCTCGATCTGGTTGAGCTCCAGTTCCGCTCGGATGGGCATGGATGCCGATGTCCGATGCCGAGACCCCATTCGTCTGTCGTATCATTATAATTTGTCTTGGCCAAGTGCACATACACTCGATTACGATTCCGATTCGGATTCCAATTCCGAGTCCAATTCCAATTCCAATTCCAATTCCAATACCAATTCCGACTCCGATCGGGCCGAAACTTTCTCGCTCTCGCCAAGTGAAATGCCTCCGAGTGGAGTGGCCGGCAATCAGAAATCTACAGCCATCAACCTTTATTGTGCCACAAAGAATCTTGGCTGCTTGGGGTTTTTGAACTTTAGAGCTTTCGTTTTTGTCGGCCAGCTGATGGGGGATTCTAAGTAAGCCATTGGCTTTGCTGCTGCGATATTAATGATATATATGCTCTTATATATGCCAGTCCTATGCTCCAATTCCAATGACCCAAAGCTGAGGGCATTCGAATTGCTTTCATATTCAAAGTATCTGTATCTGTATCGGTAAAGGTATATGTATCGGTATCTGTATCTGTATCTGTATCTGTCTCTGTAAATGTATCTGTATTTGGTGGGGCTGGAAACCCCGAGCCCGAGACCCACTAAAAAGTGAAGAAGCGAGAGTTGGCGGATGATGACGTTGGATGGCGATGGTGATGGTGATGGTGATGGTGATGGCGATGGTGATGGCTCTTGGCTTTCTAATTGTTGTTGCTGCTTGCCAGCTGAGAGCTCAGTCGCCGAGCAGCTGATTAGAAGTTCCCGCAGCCTCGGCCATGGCGATTCGATTGGCAAAACCACTTGGACGCCGACTGAGACGGAGACGGAAACGGAGGCAGAGGCTGTGGCTTCGACTTCGGCAGAGACTTTAACTTCGACTTTAGCGGCGACGCCGACAGAGGCAGCGGACTGGGTTTGTCTTGGCCTGGCTTGAATACAGATGCGGGTTCGTTGACCGGCAAAGTTTTTGAAGTTTATCGCTGCGCCGCTGCCTGTTGGCTGCCGTTGGCCCCGCTTTCAGTAAGCCAAATATGCAACCAGGAACCTAGAGCGGCGTCGCCCCCAGAGCACTCCGCCTCCTACGCCCCCTACTCCCCCCCCACTCACCATCAAAAACCGCTCCTGGGTCAGCTGTTCGGCCAGCTGTTCTAGCCAAGAGCGCTTCCGCTTTTCGTCCGCGTTCATTGCCTTCTCATTGGTCGTTGGTTGAGTCAACTCTCGCACAGACCGGACCGGACTTCATCTCCGGACCGGACGGATCAACGAACGGGGCAAATCAAGTGGCTTCTATTTCGGGCACGGCGCTTAGATATTTTTGGCACGCTTCTTCCGGTGACTCGAGACGTCGACGACCTTTCGGCATCGGATTGGTGTTGGAATGGATACGATTTCGGCTTCGGAATCGGAATCTCCACCCGCCACCCACAAATCGAGTGATTTGTATTCGATTTGTTTTGTTTTCGACCGCTGGATTGGGGTTGACAAACTTTTCGGTGGCTTTTCTGCCAGCCGAGATCAGCTGTGATCAGTGTGTGGCTCCGCTTATTATGTAACACGAAAAGTCAACGCAATTTTTGAGTTTATTGACTGTACAGTTTAAGTTTTTTTTTTTTATTTTGGTTTGTTTTTTTGTTATTTTTTTTTGGGGGGCTTTTTGTGGCATCCGTGCCGCATCGATGATGAAAGTTTTTCGGCAAAGGGGGTGGCGCCTGATCGAGAAAGTTGCCCGAAATAACCACAGTTAAGGTAACAACACACCGAAACGGTTGCCAAAAAACAAATTCGTTTAAAGTTTATTGACTTTTGATCCCAACGCATTATTGTTGGGGTGGGTAATGGTTGTTTTTGTTTCTTTTTCGCCAGTTGCCGCCGCTGTTTGCGCAATCCGCTGCTGCTGCTGCTACTGTCGCCACTGCTACTGCGGCTGCTGCTGCTGCTGCTGCTGTTGTTGTTGTTGTTGTTGTTGTTTTGACTGGACTCATAATGCATACGTAACGGTATCGACAGGAAGTTGTGGATGTGGATGCGGTTTATTTGCCGCAGGAGTTCATTCAATGCCGGCAGACGGCGGGTTCCAGTTTGGAGCCGGGGTCGTTGCCGCATTTGTTGTGACTGCTCGTGGAGCACGTGCTGCACATGCGCGGGACGCCCAAGGTTGGCCAGTCACTCGAGGAAGTCGCTTGGGTCTCAATTGCTTAACTTTACTTTCTTTGCGTTCATAGGCATTCGCCAGCAAGTTCGTGTCATTGAAGTCTTTCGTTTGCAGGGGCAGTCAAAGTGAAGTTTTTATGGTTGCCAGTAGTATTTCCTTTAAGTACATCCACTTACCCCTCAGTCTTTCCATTTATTACTCTTATAATGCATCCTAAAGCCCTCAGAAATGTCGTAAATTAATAGAGGTAGTTTCTGTCATTAAAGTCTTTCGTTTGCAAGTACAAGCCCTCGAAAAATCTCACCGCTTCAGCTACTTTTGATCGATTTGCCAGCAAGTTCGTGCCATTGAAGTCTTTCGTTTGCATGCCCAAGAGAACGCAAAATATTCTGGAGCGCTCGGAGCGAAAGAGACGGTGTTCTGTTGTGTTTTACTCTGTGCTGCTCTGTTCTGCTCTGTTCTGTTCTGTTCTGTTTGGTTGCCAACACAGCTCGGCCCCAACGTTTCCCGGCTACCCTGCCCCCTTCCCCCTTCCCCCTTCCCCCTGCTCCACTCCACTCCAGCTCTCCAGCGTGTTGCCATGTTTCTGGTTTGGCAGCTGCTTCTTGGGAACACTCACGCTCACACGCACACTGGCACACCGGCACACGCTCGTCGTAGCCGTCGCCCCTTTGCAGTGGTATATGTAGGTCTACGTCCGATTTTACTTTCACTTTTAAAGGTTTACGAACTTTTCTGTTTACAAGTCAACGCTGCTGCCGGCTTCGTCAGCAGCAGCGCCAACGTTGACGACGACGTCGGCGTTGCCGAAGACAACGTACACCGGGAAAAAACGTATGAAATGAACATTAACAGGCTAAATTTATTATTAATAATACTTAATATATAGGTATACTTAAGTGTTTTTGTGTTAACTTAAAAGGTTTTCTCAATCAATGAGAAATCAATCAGTAGTTTTAATAAAAAATATGCCTTTAAATTTATAATTAATTATTTAAGCATTATTATATCGTAATTAGGTTCCATACACATATTTATAGAACCAGCAATATAAGCATATATGAACTTGTTGTTACGACATGCTGTATTGGGAGGAAGCATAGAGTTTAAATCCCACTTTCAAATAAATTGATTTATTTTAATCATAATTATATCAAATCAATATGCTGGTTTCAGGTTCAAAATGCAAAGTGAATTCCGAAATTGATATGTATTCCGCATACACGTTTCTTTCTGTGCAGCGCACATTTCAAATGCCGATCACTTGAAGGGGAGGTGGAGGTGGCCATGGGTATGGGTATGGGTGTAGATCCTCCCCCCTCTGCCCCGTGGCCCACTCCCACTCCTCTGCACAAGGAAGTCGCCTTCGCGGCGCTTCGACTTCCTTGACATTGAAGCAAGGATTTTGGCCCCGCCAAAAGCACTCGCCTCGGAAGTCGCAGCTTGTGTGTGACTGTGTGTAAGTGTGTGCGTGTGTGTTGTGATGCGGTGTGGTGTGGTGTGGTGTGGTGCGGTGTGTGGTAGTGCTAGCAATGCTGTTTTTTAGTCGGTCGGTCATTGACCGTTGCGGCTGAGACGCAGTGACGCCGCTGCCATTGGCATGGCCGACGCGGTGGCTGCGGCACTGCGGCAACCGCGACAACTGCGACAACTGCGGCATCTGCGACTGCTGCGACGCCGCTGTTATCCTGCCATCTAACTGGTGGCCAAGAGGCCAGAGTGAGACGCGGATACCCAGAGATCTGCGGCTCTGATGACGACAACATTAGCTGGTAGCTGGTAGCTGGCGGTGTTGTCGTCTACCCAACTTGTTGGACAAGTTGACGGCCTACGCGAGTGTGCATTGCATTGATTGGGATCGGGGCTTCGGGGGATCGGGGGGTTTTGGGGGCTTCGGGGGATCGTGGGGGATTGTGGCATGCGAGGGGAATTGGAGGCTTGTGCGTTTGCGCAAAAGTCAATGAACTCACGCTGCAGCAGTGGGGGCGTCTTGCTGCCAAAGCAAAGTGGTACGATATGCGATGTGGTGCAGTGTTGTGTGTGCACCATGGAATTCGCACACAGACCGATGCAGGCTGGGAATGTAGGTAAGCCACTTGTTGTTGTTTCTAACCTTTTTGCAATGCATTAGGCAACCGACTCACTGTCAACACTTGGCGGAGTGCATTGATCTCGCCATTGAGTGCGAGTGTTTGGCTCCATTTGGCAGTGCGTGTTTGGCTTGGGAATGGTAATGGTAATGGTAATGGTGATGACGGTGGTGATGGTGATGGTAATGGGATTGGGAACTGCGAACTGGGAACTGGGAACGGGGATCGCATGACACAGTGACCGGAAAACAGACTGACTTAATGACTGACTCTTTCGCTTTTTCAAAATCAATGCTCCGGCAATTAGAATGCAGGCCAAGCCCCTCTTTCACCTTCTCCATTATCTGAGTGAGTGGGTGTTGCGGTACCCGGCTGGCATAGCCAACTACATATAACCAGAGCCAAAGCGATAGCCATAGTCATAGCCATACCCATAGCCATAACCATACCCATACCCATACCCATACACATAGCCATAGCCGTAGCAATAGCCTACGGTTGTAGGCCAGCGGTCAACGACCGCCAGCAGACCGACGACAAAAAGCAGCCGCAGAGTCGCCGCCGCTCGGCAGCGGCAGCTCAACCAGTTGAACGACCCACTGAACCAACTTGTCATTTGACCATGTCGCCAAGCTGCTGCACCACCGCACTGAAGTCGCCCCAGAAGAGAAGTGGCCGGAGGAGGAGTCGCCAACGTCCTGCCGGTAATTATCTCACACCCTAATGGGGTAGTTGCACACGCTAATGGCATTTCACCCATTTGTCAATGTAGCATACCTCCTGGGGCACAGGTACCGCAGATCCCTTGGCTGCTGGTCCACTGGCCACTGGTCACTGGACACTAAACACTGGACTCTGGACTCTCTGTGCTCCCAATCCATGTCAATTACCTTGCGAAAGTCGTCGCTGCGGATATGAAGCAATAATAAAACCATAAAAACGAAGAGGCACAGAATTTGGCAATTACTTATTATTGAAGCTGCGTCTCTGTCGTCCAGCTGCCAATTTTGTGAGTTTCACGAGGCTCGGGTTGCGGTTCCTGTTCCCGCAACTGAAGCTGCTGCAACTGAAGCTGCTGCAACTGAAGCTGCTGCAACTGAAGCTGCTGCAACTGCTGCTGCTGCAACTGAAGCTGCTGCAACTGATGCTGCTGCAACTGATGCTGCTGCAGTTGTTGCAATTAAATTTGGCCTCAAAAAAGCCGCCACGCAGCAGCCGAGCGAGGAGAAAACCTGGAGTGGCTGCCACAATCTTTAGCGCGGGTCAGCGGCAATATATGTCCGTGGGGGTCAGAGGCGTAAAAGCGGCATTCATGTCGTGCAACATTGTTGCAGGATGCAAGCTGGTTGTTAAATGTATCAATTACCGCACCACACTATCACCTTCCTCCAGAGATAAGAGCCTGACCCACTCAGGCTGCTCAGTGTTGCTGTTGGGCCAGAACTGTAATTCCTTAAAAGTGTAGCTGTATGATATAGAAATTTTTGGTATTTTTTATTTTTTAATAATTTGAATAAGTACGTATGCTGTATAATTTGTTTTCTAATTTTCTTTAAAGTTTTAAAAGATTAAAATGTGGAAAAAAATGAACAATGGTTGTCAAGAATTTTCTACCAATAAGTTGTGGTTTCAATTGTGGAAAATGTCTTTAAGAGGAAATAAATGGCTACAAAAATATCAATGATATTAAAGGTGTTTTGATTGTTTTATTAGGTAATTACATTTAATAGACTACGTATACAAAATTAAACTGGGGATGTGATATTTTTCCTTGGTCGATTTGTCATATTTTTGGGGCAAGAAGTTGGCAGCACTGATGCAGTGGGCGCCACTCGTGGAAAGTCACGTGTCCGGCGTGTTTGGGGCTTGTCTCTTAGCCAAAATCAGGGCCCAGCACACAGTCACGGCCAAAACAATAGGGCTGGCCGCTTGTTGCATATCTGATAAATCAACGAAGGGTGCTGAGATGTTGAAGAGCTCATGCGTTCTGCCTGCTGATTACGAGATCTCTTGTAATTTATGGGCACAGAGATTTCAGAGCTACTTTCTTAGCTTCAGCCGTACGACAAATGGAAGGGGGAGGGGGTCTTGGAGGTGGGTACCATGTTTTGGGGCCCAATGCATTTGCATGCAGCGCATGAATCGCGGGGATCCAAGTGGCCGAGTCGCAATTGCATGCTGATGCGGATTAGCATGCTCCGGCCGTCGCCGACTCGATGTTCGATGTTTGTCACTTTATATAATGCACCACTGCGCCAGGTGCTTCCCCTAGTTCACGGCCTCGAAACTCGAGAGACACCCTCGCATTCTAGCTGCTATGTGGCTATGTAGTTACAGGGTAGCAGTGCAGTGCAGTGCAGTGCAGTGCATTTGCATTGAGATTTGTCGCCGTAATTGAATTGCCAATCGCTGACATTGTAATTGCCCGAGAGCGCAATTCATGCAAATGGAAAAATGGAAATGGAAGTGCTCAAGATGAGATTTGTTAATCTTGTCCCCTGATTAGACCCCCCCTCCCTCATCACCATCCTCCTTTCAGCATATTCAATGCGAGTCCGTGGAGCGTTGCACAATCAGAATGGATCGCCGCGTTTCATTGAGCTTGTCAGTCGAGCTGCTAGTCGCTGATCGATGAATCGATCGATCGATCGATTGGTCCTGGCACTGGCAATAGAACTGGCACTGTGACACTGGCACTGGCACTGGCATTATCCAATGCCTAGTCCAAGGCCTAGTCGAAATTATCATATTATTATTCGAGCGATCGCCATGGACGCGCGAGTGCGTATTCACTGGCGCTGGGAGATGATCTTGGCCAGGTTGGGGAAGCTGCAGCCCTTGCCCTTGTGGAATATACCTATGCCCATATCCATACCCATACCCATACCCATAAATAGCTGCCCAAAAGCTGCCCCACAACCTTGGCTGATTTTTCTTTGTGAGACCAACTCTGCACGATGAGCCAAGAATGCCTGAGATCTGGCTGACTGGCTGACTGACTGGCCGAGATCAACGAACGCTTTCAATAGGAAATTGAAATTGAAATCGAAATCTAAAAACGAAATGAATACAACCCGCCTTTTTCTTTGTCTTTGTCATATTGATTTCAGTCGCTGTTCGCGCTGTTTTCTTTCGTTTCTGCCACTAATATATGCGATGATTAGCGGATTAGTGGGCTGGTTATGAGCGATTAAGCAGCGTCGCTTCGATGTGGCTTGGAATTGGAATTGAAATTGGAATTGGAACTGCTTCAGTTTCAGCATCGAATCGCTGCGATTCGTTGACCCCACCAATGCAGAGCCTTGGAATTAGCATAGATCGGTGCTCCCCCACATATGTAGTCCGACTCTCCGACACTCCTCGGCTAATGCGCGGGATCCCCGGATCTGGAGGACAGTCGGACTTCAAAGACTGACAGCCGGATCAAGAAAATCATGGGGAAAATCAGTAATTTTTTTTAACTTTTTGGTCTTAAGTTTAAATATGCAGATTTCCTTTGTATACATACAATGTTCTTAAGTTTAAATATGCAGATTTCCTTTGTATTAGTTTAAAGGCTTAGAGAGGATTGAAGCCATAATTAAGTTAAGAAAACTAAAATGTAGGTTCAGTACTACATTTTTCAGGGCAATATGTAGATTTGTTCGATTAAAAATCGTTACTTAATATCAATTAGGTATATAGTAGCTTTTAAAGAAATCAACATAACACATACACCAAAAATATAAACATTGAATTTTAAAATTTTCAGTAAGTCTAATTGAGGGTCTCATTTTTACAAGTCATTGGAAACTTAAAAATAACTAACATGAAAATGGGTCATAAATTTGACCAACGCTAAAATGAAAATTTTGAATGCAGATTTTTAGAGAATCAACCCACAAGTCTTTAGAGGTATGCCACTTTGAGATCGGATAAAATTTAGTAAAGTTATGGACTGTAGAAGTCCAATTGAGGGCCACCTTTTTACAAGACATCGAACTTAGAAATAACTAACATGAAAATGGGTCGAAAATTTGACCAACGCTAAAATGAAAATTTTGAATGCAGATTTTTTAGAGAATCAACCCACAAGTCTTTAGAGGTATGTCACTTTGAGATCGGATAAAATTTAGTAAAGTTATGGACTGTAGAAGTCCAATTGAGGGTCACCTTTTTACAAGCCATCGGAAACTTGGAAATAAGTAACATGAAAATGGGTCGAAAATTTGACCAACGCTAAAATGAAAATTTTGAATGCAGATTTTTAGAGAATCAACCCACAAGTCTTTAGAGGTATGCCACTTTGAGATCAGATTAAATTTAGTAATGTTATGGACTGTATAAGTCCAATTGAGGGTCTCCTTTTTACAAGACATCGGAAACTTGAAAATAACTAACATGAAAATGGGTCGAAAATTTGACCAACGCTAAAATGAAAATTTTGAATGCAGATTTTTAGAGAATCAACCCACAAGTCTTTAGAGGTATGCCACTTTGAGATCAGATTAAATTTAGTAATGTTATGGACTGTAGAAGTCCAATTGAGGGTCACTTTTTTACAATTTAAATTGCTAAATTTAGGGGTTTTCGGAGAATAATGCGTATATCCCGCTTTTTTTATATCATTTCGCTTAAGTTGAATATAACATAAAGCTTTCATATCCTCGTTGCAACATAATGTTAAAATATATGAAAGAGAATACCAGCAATTCTTCCGGCCAAGTCCGCAGAAATAAGTGCTGATCAGTCCGCAGAAAGGACAAATTGGCCGCAATACTGGCCAAGATCTGAGGTGCTTCCCCGGCACGCGGCCAGAAAAACCCCCAACTATTTTCCACGATGACTTCATTTAAAATCGAGCGTATCGGCTATCTGTGTTTGTGAGCGGCACGTGCATGCGTTTGATGTTTTATTTTTGTTTTTGTTTTTGGTTTTGTATTTGTTGATTGTGTGATGGGCGGGCAGGTGTCGAAACAATGTGTGGCGCGCAGCTTAATTAGAATGTTGCCACATTGGTAGCTAGAGCCAGCAGCAAAACGCGCCCGAATAAAAGTGTCAGAACAAGTTGAGGCGGCAATTTGTCAACCAGCAGCGGCAGCAACCAACTAGACACGCGGCCAAGTCCCCACTTTACATTCGAAATGCATTTTTTTGCATACGACATACAGATGGAGATACCGATACAGATACAGATGGAGATACAGAAACAGATGGAGATACTTGTACAGATACAGATGCAGATACTGATACAGACACGACCACATATCCGACAGCTCTCATTTTCTGATTCGCCAGACAGGCTCGAACTGGCCAACTTGTTGGCCCGGCCAGTGTGTGTCCATGTCCATGGATCCGTTCATGCGCAAGGTTTTCGGCTGTGGGGCCCGATCTTTGGCCACCCGCCACCCCAGCAGCCCACTGGCACTGGGTGCATTGACCTCAAAATGGCTCAAAAGCCATTGAACTGCTGCAGTCGCTCTGGCTGTGCCTCTGACTTGGCTTGGCTTGGCTTGGCTCGGCTCGGCTTGGATCGGCTTGGATCGGAGCAGATCTGATCGGACAGAACAGAACAGAACTTATTCTCATAAGTAATATGCTAACTTTCGCAATTCTAGAGTTTGAATTACACAAACTACAGATACACTTCATGATAAAAATTAAATCTTCCAGGGGTTCTGATAATGCGAATTATTTAAACAGAAAGTTTTCACTTGAAGATAATACTATTCTACAAATCGCCCAAATTAAATAACCCCCTTAATAAAACCCAGTTTAGATTGTGGCAGTGGAGTACTTTATTCGTGGATTTTTGTATTTATACAAATTTGCACTCCATAATTCGCTTTTCTTTTCTTTAATAATAGTTTTTCTATTCCTTTCAATTATTTTTTTTGTAGGTATTGACAGCTTTTTTAAGCTCAGATAAAAAATACTCTTCTATGTTAGAAGTACATATAAAAGGCATAACATTTAGCAATTTTGTATAAGCTTTGTATGAGTGTATGTATATATAATATTGCAGAAAAAACCTTCTTCGAATAATTATAGCTTAATTATTGAAAGACTTAATTGTTTTGCATATTGATAGCCCTATTAAATTAGTTATAATAACATTATTGATGTTACTCATACCAAAAATGTATCTAGAATTACAAATATGGATGCCATGGAGTTACGCGATTTGTGGCCGTGAATGTTTGAGAATTTTAGAAACACCCCTTTGGCTTTTATTTCCTAAACTTTATAGAGTCTAAATTGCCTTTTTCTGATTTTTACCCTTTAATCTACTGTCAGTGGAAAAAAACATAAGCTAACAAGGTACCTGTATTGTACTTTTAAATATAAACCCTGTAAGTTTGAGACGTAACTCCATTCCTGGTAAATAACCTATCCTAAAGTTAAATTTTAAACCTTTAAAGAGTGGTTTGCGAGAATTCTTAAAATGTGAGGATTATGAAGAACTATAGCAGGAATGATGTATGTGGTCTGGGTCCGGATCCCAGTCCAAGTTCGAAAAATCTGATTCCGAAGCTGCGGCTATCGAAACCGAGAATGAAATGAAAATGTGACCGAATGTAAATTCTTTTAATTTTATTGCCAACGCTGTTGGCTGTTCTAAGAGCCGAGCGAATGCAGTCACTGGAATCCACCGGCACGTTCTTTGGGTGGCTGCCGTAGCAGCCGTCGGTTGGATGGGTTAAACGAACGCTGGCTTGGCCTATGAAAGATGTCAAGGTATCTGTAAAATTCGTATGCGATTTCGTACGCCAATCACATCCATTCCGTCGTGCAAACAGTCACCGTCGAGCCGCAAAGCACACGAACCGCAGAAAACAAAGCCACTAATTGCCGAAGTCGCAGGTTTTTTTTGGGAGACGCCAGATGCAACGTGCCCTGTCCCTGCGAAATCTGTATCTGGATCGGATGACCACAAGCAGCTGACTTTACTCGGGTGTCGTCTTCTGCGGATCGGCTTGAACGTCTTGATTTTACCGATTCGTCGGCGCATTCCGCTGGGCGGGGGGGCCAAGGGAGCCGACTGCCGGATGCACTGCCTCCGCTGTTTGGCCATTCAGTGTAGAGCTTAGTCAGCTGGGGTATCCGAGGTGCGACTTGAGCTGCTCGGCGTGCAAAAGCGCTGACATTAAGTGAAAGAGCAGACGAGGGCCTGGCCAGCGGTTCTGGAGCTCAACCTTGGACTTTGCCACCAAATGCGAGATGCTTGTGCTCCATTAATGTCGCAAAAACCATCGGACGCAGCACATTCAGAGCGGGTGAGGGGGTAGGGGTGTAGGGGGGTGGTGCGGTGCTTGAATTACCATTCCATTCGCGGCGCGTGCCATAAAGCTTCGTCGCATAGAAGCAACACAACAACCAAACACATATATTGGATGAGTGTATAAACATTGGAATTGGGTTAAAAAATAAAGCATGCAAACTACCTTGACACATTTTTTGCACTGGAGCAGCAGCAGCAGCAGCAGCAGCAGTTCGGGTGTGAACGGGAGGGGGTGTGGAGTGGTTGTGCGCTTTTGAAAAAATATTGGGTGTGCAAAGAGTAAACATAATGGGATGCAGTCATACAGAAGGAACAAAGCCAAAGGCGGGGGAGGGGGTGGTGATCCACCCATTCCCAGCCCACTCCAGTATCAATATGCTGTTGCAACTGTAATAAAAACGCTTGACGAAACCCGTGTCACTGTGTGCCTGATAAGAGAACGCGAATACGCCACGTGAGCTGGGTGCCATGAGGTGGCCCCGATTCGATTCGATTTCGATTTCCAGTTCCAGTTCCAGCACACTCCGAAATTTCGTGCGCAATGCGCTGATTAGACGCATTATATATCAGCTTGATTGTGTGGAAATGCGTCGTGCGCTATCTCTTTGGATGAGGTGGCCACCTCAAACCCAATCTTCGTGCCCTCTTTGATCTTCAAAGTTTGCTATTTGGTGGTTTCACTAGCCAGGATTTCCAGGATGCAACATTACTCGAAGGCCATAAAGATAGGTGACCCCGAAGCACAGACTTCTTAAGGGTATAGCATTTGAGAAATGCTTGAAAGTAGTCAAAGTGCTCAAATTCAAGGGTATAACATTCCAATACACTGACTACTTTTAGTTAAGTTAGGTTTTGGTGACCCCAACCATTTGTATGGCCAGGCCCAACCCCCTCTTGGATCTTCGAGCTTCGATCTTTTGCGGATTGTTTTATTTTAAACACACTGCCAAGCCAAAAGGCAGTCAAAAGGGTTTAAAAATAATTCAGGCCGCGTTGACAGCCAGCATCCGCTCACAGCACAGTCTTCGGGTTCGGGTTCAGGTTCAGGTTCATGTCCTTTCCCTTCGCCATAGGATGTTGCCCCGACAGGCCAATGATCTTGGCGTCTGTTGAACCGTCTGCCACTCAAGAACATTGTCGCTGGACTGGCAGACTGCTGGACTGGTGGACGTGGACTGGACCTGGTCCCAAGTGTCGGGACAATGGAAAGGTTCGGCGACCGTTGCACGCAGCCAGATCTCTCTCGCCCCGTTGCCACTGGCGGGTCATTAAAATGTACAGGTAAATTTCAAGTTAATGCCACGGCTGAGGCGGCGGCGATCCCACTGATCGTAGATCTTGATGCCCTGCTCCTTTGTCCGGCCCGCTCGCTGGCGGGCGGATCTATTTTAGCGCATGCCATTGGCCCTGAACTTGTTTGTCCAGCCTCGCGAGCCCTTTCCACTTCCTTTCCCATTCCCATTCCCATTCCCATACGCATTCCCATACCCATTCGCCATTCCAGAAGTTGCAGCACATGACATGACTCAGACGGCCCAGGCTGCTGGAAATCCCCAGGCCAAGGCATCTATAGAAGCTCCTTGTCTTTTCCACACAGAGAAATAACACAGTTCGATGGTCAAGCAAATTAGTTATTAATATTTTCAACATTAACCATGCATTTTGATATTATATTATTATTGAGGCTGTTGTCTTGACATTGTAGTATATCTACTCCTATCTGATCCATATCATACAGATTGTTCGTTCGCTGCGGGGAAAAACCCAGACATTTCCTTAGGCCTTTCTATGGTTGCCTGTGGCTTAGGTAGACCCAAATCGAAACCAATTCAGCAGCCACGAAATTAAGGAATACACAAGAAATGTGCAAATGTGGCAGATATAGAAATGAAAAGGTAGTCGATTGAATAAATGTATGCGAAGTTAGGTAGTCTGGGATGGGCCAGCAGGGTATCTGAATACCCTTGAATACCCATATACCCATATTGAGTCCGAAAGGTAGCTCAGCTAGCTCCGATCCCAGCCAGCCAAATCCGTTGAGTGGGTGTAATGAATGTGCATATGATAAATACCAGTGGCCGGGTAATCGATTTCGTTTTTAAATTTTACTTTCGCACTCTCCTTCTTCGCAGCCGAAATCTGAAATCAGAAAACCCAACCGATAGCAGACTCTGCCAGGGTATTGATATTGCTGATGTTACCATTGTCTGGCCTTCCCGTTCCCGTGCCCGTTTCCTGTCCCGATCCCGTTCCCGTTGCTGACGTAGACACGTTGACAGCTCGCCGCTGCCCTGTTTGCATTTCTGGCCGAGGAGAGACCCGTTTCAAATTCTAAAGAAATTCCAGTAATCGCAGAGCTCTGCTGGCGACTGGACGTCGGGATCCGAGAGGCTCTAACAGGAGAAGAACAAGGTAACAAGGTAAAAGTGAGAGCGCGAGCGAGCGGAAATCGAAAGTGATGTCGGCCATCGTCGATGTGAGCTACACCGGTTGGATGCCCTCGGTGCAGTGCCTCAGTGTGCTGGTGGTGCCGGGCGTGCTGATCATGGTGATCCTCTATCTGTGCGAGCACCAGTACGACGACATCATCGGAGTCTCGCCCCCGGGACCCTGGGGCCTGCCCTGGCTGGGCTACCTGCCCTTCCTGAACTCCCGCGCCCCGCACAAATCGCTCCAGGCTTTGGCCAAGCGGTATGGGGGCATCTTCGAGCTGAAGATGGGCAGTGTGCGGACCGTGGTCCTGTCGGATGCGGCTCTGGTGAGGGACTTCTTCCGCCGCGACGTGATGACCGACCGGGCCCCACTCTACCTTACGCACGGCATCATGGGTGGATTTGGTAAGACGACGGCTAATCCTGACCAGAGCTTCTAAAGGCTCACTTTCTCCCACCTCCTTTCCGGATACCAGGAATCATCTGCGCCCAGCGTGACATCTGGCGGAATGCGCGGCGTGAGGTGATCGACTGGCTCAAGGCTCTGGGCATGACCCGTCGTCCTGGGGAACTGCGTGCCCGGCTGGAGAGGCGCATCGCCCGGGGCGTCGACGAGTGCGTCCGGGTAAGTGGCTCCACTGCACTGCATCCATTATTTGGATAGCTTTAAACTACGACATTGCATTAAAATCATTTATGTTTTCGCATGTCTTTTTCGTCAAATCTGGCTTAACAACAAATTTTTAGATATAAAATGTTAAGAGCTTCTCAGCAATCTAATCCAATAACTTTATTTATTGGAATTTTAAGAAAAATTCGAGTGCCATTACTTAAGATAACTATTTTGCTATGCGTAAAGTCAAATCTGTAAAAAGCCTTATAGAAAGGATTTCCACATGGTATATAACTAAAAATTCGAAGTTTAATTCTCTTCTAATCTCTATAAATAATTTAGTTTCTAGTGGTCGTAAATTTTAGTATTTACATTTTTTAAATGTTCGAAAAATGAATAACAAAATGTAATGGCCCCTTTTGAAATCAGATCATCATATGACTTAGTCAAGTTAAGTTTATAATGTAACCTTATTTTATATAGAGGTTCTATGGAAGCCAATTGAGAAATGTTTTTTTGTCCTAACTTTTCCCCTGCAGCTTTATGAGGCCGAGGGGAAAAACAGCAGTGGGTCGGAGTTCAACCCGCAACCGGCCCTCCACCACACGCTGGGCAACATCATCAACGACCTGGTGTTCGGGGTCACCTACAAGCGGAACGACCCCGACTGGCTGTACCTGCAGCGGCTGCAGGAGGAGGGCGTCAAGCTGATCGGGGTCTCGGGCGTGGTCAACTTCCTGCCCTGGCTGCGGCACCTGCCCGCCAACGAGCGCAACATCCGCTTCCTGTTAGAGGGCAAGGCCAAGACGCACGCCATCTACGACCGCATAGTGGAGGCCTGTGAGAAGCGTCTCAAGGAGAAGCTGAGGAAGCACAAGGAGCGCCAGGAGCTGAGGCGCCAGAAGAAGAAGCTGGAGAGGGAGCAGCGCAGGCAGGAGGAGGCAATCAAGGCGGAGGAGGCGGCAAAGCTGGAAGCTGTTGCCAAGGAGCAGGAGTCTGGACAGGAAAGGGAGCAGGTTTCTGGAGAGGAAAGGGAGCATGAGTCTGGACAGGAAAGGGAGCAGGAGTCTGGACAGGAAAGGCAGCAGGAGTCTGGACAGGAACAGAAGCCAGCTGAAGAGATAGATGTGAGGCCAAAAGAGAAACCACGAGAGGATCCAGAAGAGGAGCCAGAAGAGAGCGACGAGGACGACGACGAGGAGGAGTACGAACCACACTGCATTCTGGAGCACTTCCTCATCCACCGGGACCCGTACTCGCAGCTCTACTGCGACGACCAGCTGCGCCACCTGCTCGCCGATCTGTTCGGTGCCGGAGTGGACACCTCGTTGGCCACCCTGCGCTGGTTCCTGCTCTACTTGGCCACCGAGCAGCGCTGCCAGCGCCGCCTGCACGAGGAGCTGCTCCCGCTGGGACTGGCTCCCACCTTGGCGGACCTGGAGCCGCTGACCTATCTGAGGGCCTGCATTTCCGAGACGCAGCGCATCCGCAGCGTGGTGCCGCTGGGCATTCCGCACGGCAGCAAGCAGCCCTTCACCATGGGCGACTACCACATCAAGGGTGGATCGATGATCGTGCCCCTGCAGTGGGCCATCCACATGGACCCGGAGGCCTTCCCCGAACCGGAACAGTTTCGCCCGGAGCGCTTCCTCAGTCCCGATGGAGCGTATGCGGCACCGCCGCAGTTCATCCCCTTTTCGACGGGCAACCGCATGTGTCCTGGCGACGAGATGGCCCGCATGATCCTCACGCTCTTCGCGGGGCGCATCCTGAGGCGCTTCCACCTGGACCTGCCGACGGGCGGCCAGGTGGACATGGAGGGCGAGAGCGGCATCACCCTGACCCCCGCGCCCCACACCCTGCGCTTCACCAAGCTGCCGGCGGTCTACTTGCGCGAAGCACCAAAAGCGGAGTTGGAGCAGGATTAGGTATCAGATTAGGTATCCTATTCGTATCCCATTTTTTTTTATTTCTTGAACAATTATATTATAACCTTTTGTGAATGGTGGGTCTATTGAATGCGTGTTTTATTTGGGCGGGTAAAACATTTGGGCCTTCTACATTTAAAGGTGAGGCATTTTCACTACAATGATTCGCTAAGCATTTAATTACCTTTTAATGTTAAATAAGGAATTCAATAAATGAAAAGTTATTTTAAGATTTAAATCAATAGTTTCGTTCGCGTGTCTTTGATAGAGTATTAAAATAAAAACGGATTCTGATTTAACAAATTCCATACATTATTTTATGGTAAATAATTTCTTTTGTTTTTAAATCAAACCCTTTCGAAACTAAACATAATAAATCCGAGATCCCTTGCTTTTAAAACCAAATTCTGCGCATTTGAGTGGCTCACATTTCGATGAGATTTAAGGCGTTTTAAATGAAACATTTAGGGCACAATTGTTGTCCACCAGTAAAGTATTTAAAAGTGATTTGGCCCAGTTTTTGTTTTCAAGTATTTTTCACACGTTTTTCTTTATTTCGAATCGTTTGCCTATTTTGATGTGTGCTTGTAAGACTAAACCACAGTTTGTTTTGTTGTTTGTTGTTTGGACATTAAGCTAGCACTAATACTAGGAATAAACAAGAACGTTAGCTAACTACACTTAATCGGCCTGCTGGCTTTAGACATAGCATATCGTAATATTAGCGGCAATAATAATAATATTAATAATAATAAAAAACATTAACATTAGCAATAGAATCGAACGTAACTAAGGTGCCTAACTAGGGGTTTAATTACAATTAGTTGAACACAGCTTCTTGGGGGTGAAAGAATAGAATTGGTTGCAGTCCTCTGTGTGTTGGTCACAGTTTCCGGCTGCTCTGCTCCTTGTCTTGTCCGGATCCTGGCCAGGATCAAGCTGGGATCCCGGATCCAGGATCCCCTCTCCTCCCGCGGGCGGATAGCTACTAACTTATGGCTAAATGGATAGCATGGATAGCTCGAGGCCAGAATGGAGGTGGCCTCTCCCTTCTCCTTCCTCAAATGTGTTTCTTTTTCTGCTTTGTGTTGTGTGCTTTTTGTTTGTGTGTAGGAACAAAACCGTGCTCTGTGGAGCGGCCCAAATGGCAGACCGCCTCAGTTGGCGCCCACGTTGCGCATGTGGTGCGGATCGGCGGCGGTGGGCGCCAGGGGGCGGCGCTTGAGGCAGACCTTGAAGGCCTCCGGCGTGATGGTGGCGCCCACGTTGCCCTTCAGGCTGGGCAGCGGCTGGCCCTCGGGCAGGGCGATGTCGAAGCAGTGCATGAAGGAGGCGAAGAACAGGAAGAGCTCCATCCGCGCCAGCACATCGCCCAGGCACATCCGGCGACCGACTCCGAAGGGGATAAAGTACTCCGGCTTGCGCACCTTGCCCTCCGTGTCGATGAATCGCGACGGCCGGAACTCCTCCGGCTTCTCCCACAGGTTGGGGTCCATGTGGACGCTGTTGATCAGCGGGATGACATGCGAGCCGGCCGGTATGGTGTACCCATTGAGTTCCACATCTCTGTATGGGCGAGAGGGGGGTGGTGGGGTAGGGGGGAATGGACAGGAAGGGGAAACTGTGATTAGTTCTGTGATCATCGGTGCATCGACCATTATCAGCTAGAGGCAGGGGCTGGGCCCACTGCGCACTGCCACTAATCTGGTCGTAGAACAAAAGTGGGCCACGCACTGGTGAGGTCTCGATTGGGTGGGGGGCAGCAGGGGGTCCGGGGCACGAGCCAGCTGAATGGAGAGCCACGACAATGAATGGCAATCGCCGAGATCTGGTGTGAATGAACGGACCTCGCGGCATTTGCGTAGATCTCCACGCGCCAGTGCGTAAGCACTCCATCTGCTGATAGCTCCTCTGGCCAGGTCCCCTGCTCCCCAGCTTTCCAATCTCCCCTTTCAATCCCCCAATCTCGATCGATGCTTACCTTGTGGGCGAGTGAGTGGTGGCCAAGGGAACGATGCTGGAACGGCGCATCGACTCCAGGATGGTGGACTCGGTGACGGGCAGGTACTGCAGATCCTCAATGGTGGGCAGGCGGTGGCGTCCCACCACCTGGTCCAGTTCGTCCTGGACGCGGCGCATCTCCTTGGGGTTGCGCAGCATGAACACGTTGATCCACAGCAGCGTGGTCTTGATGGTTTCCATGCCGGCGGAGAACAGGTCGATAATCACCTGGACCATTTGCTCCTCTGCAAAACGCAAAACGAGACAACGGGGTTGAAGGTCAATGGCGTTCCAATTGGAAATGACTGCTGTGGGCTTGGACGGGTGAGGAGGAGGGACTCCAACTTACCATGATTCTTGCCGTCGAAGAGCTCGGCATCCGTGCCCTCGGCCTTGGCCTTCTCGATCTCGCAGAGATAGAAGTCCACCAGGTCGCGGATGTTGCTGGGGTCAAAGCTGCGCTTGTGGTCATCGATCACGTCCTGGTAGAAGCGCTGCATCTCTGCCCGATTCTGGGCGATCTTGTTCTTGGCCGTCGAGATGCTGGGGAAGCACTGCATCGTGGGGATGTAGTCGACCGTGTGGATCTCCCCAAACAGCCGCATGCCCTCCTCGATGAGGAAGTTGAAGCGACGGAACTTGGGGTCGTCGATGCTGAACCGTGTGGACATCATCAGGCTGCAGATCACGTTGCTCACGGCCACCGAGATGACGGGTGACATGTCCACGGGCTGGCCATCGCTGGCATGCAGATGACCGATGAACTCGTGCACTTCCGTCTGTCGGTAGGCAAGCGGGGAGAGAGAGAGAAAGGGAAAGGGCGGGGGTTACTTGCTGCTCCGCGGATCGCTGGTCGGGATTAGCTGCACTCACCATGATGCGCTTCTGCATCTGCTGCTTGCCGTTGCCCATGTAGGTCATGCCGAACTGGCGGAGCTTGTCGTGCAGAAAGCGGCGCTGATCCTTCCACAGTTTGCCAGTGCTGTTGATGATGCCTGCAATGGGGGATCGGGATGAGAGGTGGTTTCGCAGCGTATCGCATCGGTTGGGGAGTGCCCGCTCTTATCTTTATTTTTGAATTTTTTATGTCGCTATTTTTCATTTAATTGAGGTAGGCTCTTGATGGGCTCGGGACGGTTGCCCTACTTTGTCAACTGTTTGGGGCTCCGGCAATAACGAAATACCAGAAAAGAAATCCCAGCGAAAAATGCACAACATTCAAAAACGAAACAAAAGCCAAAAACGTGATTTTGCGGCAGGAAAACAAAAAGTGCCGCAATGCCTTATCATTCAGTATATTTATATATATATATACATAATAAGTGCAGCTAAAGGCAATCGAAATCAAAATAAAATTAAAAATGAAAATAAAAATAAAATCGAAAATCGAAAATCAAAGAGAGCGGAAAGAAAATAAACCGCCGACAAAGAAATGCCAGTGGAATTTCTTCACTTAATTGTGTGGCTTTAAAAGCCCATTTTTGTCTGATTATTCTTTGCAATCTCACTACAATCTCACTACAGGTACTGTGTATATGCATACTATATACGGGCAAAGCCTGGACTTGGTTCCCGCAGATGCCGTGATAACTTTTCGCTTTCGCAGCGGATTTGTGGAAAATATTTCCAGGCAACGTATACTATTCTCGGACATAGTAAACAGAGTAGTAAAAACTAATTTGACATAAATAATATATGTAAGCGGGCTATCAGCCCCCAGTTATATCACAACCCCCTCTCCCTCTTTGGGGTTTTCATCTGCCATTCCGTTCCCGAAACTTACCGTATCCGTTGAGGGTCTGCATGAAGGGGGTGTCCGGGCGTCCGGTGAACTCCTCGCGCCGGAAACACTCGCGGATCATCTTGTAGTCGCTCATCACGACCGTCAGCTGGCTGCCCAATCGCGTGGAGAACAGGGATCCATAGCGCTTGGCCAGCTCCATGAAGCGGGTGTGCTTCTCGTTGCCCATGAACAGCAGATACCCGATCACGGGCAGTCCCCACGGACCCGGTGGCAGCTTCCGGAGCTCACGGTAGTTCCTCAGCAGCCACTGGAGCAGGCTGACAATGGCCAGGAGGCCCAGGAAGACCATCAGCAGGTGCTGGGCATCCCCATCCTGCTGCACCTGCAGCTGGCGCAGGAGAAACTTGATCAGGTACGAGTCGGCCAGCATGGTGGTGGTTCTCCTTCTTTTGCTTCTCTGTGCGGTTTTGACTTGGTTTTCTTTTTTGGCGGCTCTCGCCTTTGGCTTATTTCCCTTGGCTGGTGGTGGTGTCTCTTATTTACTGCACTCCTCGGCCATTGGTCACTTTTGCTTTTATTGGCTATTGACTGGCACTTGAAAAAAAATTATTCGAAAAATATTCGACTCCTTCGACACGGTTCGATTCCTTTTTGGGGGAATGGGCGCCAAAAACAAACAAAAAAAATATATATATATTTATTCGTAACGAAAACAGTTTCGGTTGGCGGTTGTCGAATGTCGGTTGGCGGTTGGCGGTTGGCGCTTGGTTACGGAGTCGGAGACGGAGACCCGGAGACGATTTCGCGTCGAGCGTTTATAGTTTTCGACTAATGGCTCGACCGTATGTCCTTGCCACTTTTATAACAACTCGAGCCCGCTTCGAGCGCGCGAGTGAGCGAGCGAGCAGAGCGCCAAACGAGTGATCGACGGCGATCGAAGCGCGCGGCGCTCGGTCTCGGCTTCGGCTTCTCGGCGGAACCACAACCGCCTCACCTCGCCGCAGCTCTTCAGCTTCAGCTTTAGCTTTAGCTTCAGCTTCAGCTTCAGTTTCGGCTTCAGTTTCAGCTTCAGAGCTTCAGCTTCAGCTTCAGCGTCAGCCTCAGCTCTTCAGCTCCAAGCGCCCGACGACGTCTGTTTGGCGTCTGTGCGCTCTGCCTCCGCCTCTGGCTTTTGGCTCTGACTGTGGCTCTGGCTCGACGCCGGCAGAGGCCCGCTCCGCTCTGAGCCGTCCCGCTCTGCCTTCCTCCTCAAAGTCGCTTAAGAATCTATGTAGTAGGGGGAAGGGGGGGATTGCCCTGTGCCCCCGCCCCAGCCACTGCCCTTGCTCCCCCCACCCCCTCCTCTGCCGCCCTGGGTCACAAGCTCTCTAGACGAAGCAGCGCCAAACAGTTCAACAAGTTCCAACCTCAAACAACCCCCCACCCCCCATCCCCACACTCACAAGCAGCGCAGCCTCAGTCGGCGGCAGTGGCCACTATCACTCGGTTCGATCGAGCGGGCAGCGAGCAATCCAACTTCGAACCGCAACCAACATGTTCGAGCGCTCATTCGGTTTGAGCAAAACGCAACAGAGACGGGCTCAAGAGATCCCAGCCGACACTCTCACTCTCTCTTTCTCTTAGCTTACCAGGTCGAAATCCAATGATTTCTTTTTGTCTTATCATCCCAACAACTTAATATTTTATTCTCCAATA